CATTTCCATACTGACAGTATGTCTGTATTCAAGTGTTTTGGTAGGTATTTCAAGCTTTCCTGCTCCAGCATTGGAATGCGGGGCATGAACGTTTTTTTTTTTTGAAAATCAACAGTTTGCATTATGCAATTAAAAATCCTAACCAATAATGTAGGGAATAGCTAGCCAACTGTTGTAGTCTTAGTTGTATGTTACTTCATATTATAGTTATATCAATGTAAAGCATTGTTTTCCCTTGTGTTTCTCATTCTTTCCCTGCCATGTCGTAAAATGTGGTGAAGCCATCGCTGTATTTGCTCCAAAGCAAATATTGGCCTTTCTAGTATTAGTAATTGCGTTCATTCTTTGTTCATTGATTTGGTGGTGAATGTGTGCTTTCCTCCTAAGTTAGGTACACCAGGAGACATCAGTTAACTTCTAGTTCTTGTGGATCAGTTGGTTGATTTATTGATTGATCTGCAGAATGCTGAGAATCAACAGCCTGAATGATTGGTGGGTTGGTCAGTTTGTTGGTTGGATGATCAATTTATTACTTGATCAATCTACTAATTCATTGATTGATTGATTGATTTGGAGTGCCAGGAGTGGATCAGTAGGTTTGGGATGAAATGATTGATTGATTGATTGAATGATTGATTGATTGATTGATTGATTGATTAATTGACAGTTGCAGTATGAGGAGAGGATCAGCAGGTTTGGAATCACCATGCCCGCAAGCCTGCAGCAGCAAAACTCTCCCCGATTGATTGATAATCTGATTGATTTATTGATCAGCAGTTGGAGGAGTGGATCAGCAGGTTTGAATCACCGTGCCTGCAGCAGCCAAACTTCCCTGATTGCAAGATTTGAATGGAATGGCGGGAATGGATCAGCAGGAATCACCAGCAGCCAAACTGTCCCTGCTGGACCCACCTTCAGTAACAAGTGTTTCTGAGCAGGCGTGACAAACCAGCCCTCCTCATAAAACCTGCAGGAGATGTTCACGACCTCCAGCAGAACGTCCTGGTAACCTGGGATCCTTTCTAAATTCTCCTTCACGGCAGAGACGATTTTGTCGTTCTCGGCCAGGAACATGACCAGGTTTTGGGACTCCTGGATAGACTTGGCGTCCGACAGACGGCCCAGGAAACCGGCCCCTCTGTGGGGAAAACAGGTTAACACACATGAGGGGGGAGGAACTGTTAGTACTACAGGGGGCTGCCAGGGTTCATGTCAGGGGCTCACAGGCAGGAGGTTGGAACCAAGTTTGCATCGTACAAACACTAAAGTTGTGTTGGTGCAATCATTCTGCATGAACATTTGGTAATGTTCAGTCTGTGTTTCTGAGTACGTATTGTGTTGATGAAGGATAGACATCCAGATAATGAGATAAACAAGAAACAGTTACTCAAGCAACTGGATAGATTTTGAAAACTATCAGATGTTTCAGACAGTTTTCTGTTTTTTGTGAGTGACTAATGGAATCTGTATTTCAAGAGCTTTTTTATTCAATTTTCTTGCATAAACTGGTTTCACAACTAATCAAATCTGGAGTTGAACAGTATAGAAAACTGGTTCCACAACTCCTGACCTGCAGTGACCCCACACGCCCCCAGCTGACCCCGCCCATCTGCAGGTGTTCTGCGCACCTGTCCTGCCCGCCTCACCTTAAACAGCACGTGCTTCTCCTCAGGAGTGACGTACATGCGTGTGTCCAGGTACGTCAGGCAGATGTTGATGACGTCTGCGAGGATCTCCTCGTAGCCGGGGATGGTCTCCAGCTTCTCCTTCAGCGTGTTGGTGATCTTGTCGTGGTTCGCCAGCACCATGGACAGGTTCTGTGACTCCTGGATGGATTGCGGGTCGGCCATCTTCTTCAGGAACCCGGCCGCCCTGGCAACGGTCGCCGTGGGAACAGGGGGTTGCCGTGGGAACAGGGGGTTGCCGTGGGAACAGGGGGTTGCCATGGCAGCAGCGGGGGGGGGGGGATCAACAGTTCCAATTATTCCTGATCACAACCTTTAACATGATTCATGCACCATGATCACATCAAACTATGATTCATCATTTACAGGAAATTAATTAGGATTGATTGATAAGATTGATTGGGAAAAGATTGCAATCAAAGGAAAACAAAAATATACTTCCTGTCTGTATGGAGTGAGGGTTAGCTGGTGACTAGCTCCTGAGACAATGATGAGTTAGTGACTAGTTAATGACTAGTTAATGACTAGTTAATGACTAGTTAATGACTAACCTCCTGTATTGAGCGTAGTCGTTTTTGACGCTGCTCTTCATGTTTTTGAGAACGTCAAGGATGGCTAGTTACTGAGTTAGTGACTAGTTAGTGACTGGTTAATGACTAGTTAGTGACTAGTTAGTGACTAACCTCCTGTATTGAGCGTAGTCATTCTTGACGCTGCTCTTCATGTTTTTGAGGGCGTCCAGGATGGCTAGTTACTGAGTTAGTGACTAGTTAGTGACTGGTTAATGACTAGTTAGTGACTAGTTAATGACTAACCTCCTGTATTGAGCGTAGTCGTTCTTGACGCTGCTCTTCATGTTTTTGAGGGCGTCCAGGACGGCAAACATGTTGATGAACTTGCCGAGGGTGAGGAGGTGCGCCTCGGACACGAAGTCCCGCCGTCGCTCCTGGTGACACAGCCGCTTGATTTCCTCACAGAACCAGTCCACAGCTCGCTTCTAAACAAACAAACAAACAAACAAACACTCACAGAACCAGTCCACAGCCCGCTTCTAAACAAACAAACAAACACACGATCTGTAAACAAAGTCTTACTGCTACTCATGGTGACACAAACAGTTGATCTCACAGAACACAGATTACACAGGAAATATCTATCATGAGCAGGGCAGGGAGCTACTGTTTGACTGGACCTGAAAGTACATGAAGTTTGGTTTGCCTGTGCATTTGTCAAGTTACTGAGTCAATGGTTAGTTAGTGATAGTTAATGACTAGTTAGCTCCTAACCTGAAAGTACATGAAGTTGACGAGTTTGGTGACCTCCGGCTCGAGAACCTCGACGGTTTTCTCGTAGATCTCGACTCTGTTCGGCTGCTCATTACTTTTGATCTGCAGGAACAGAATAGATGTCAGCACAAGAACATCAAAACATCACAATTCATCCTGCACAAAACTCATGGTGTTAACATGTAAATCCTTGAGGTCCCATATTTGAGCAGAGCCACACCTCAACCATATTAAAGATCCCACCGCACTTATCAGAAAGAGTACATGTAGGTGTCCTTCCTGGTGTGAGTGGTTCAAACCTTACAGTCTGGAGTAGGCAGCTTATATTTACCATGTACAAAACTGGTGTGGTACACCTAAAGGTCCTGGCAGTTTATCGGTTATGTAAAACAAACAAACTCACAGAGGGGATGGCCCTGGAGCAGCTTCTCCATGTGTACAGCATCACGGCATACTCATCACCTTCCTCCAGCATCTCATTCTGAAACACAGATTCAACTCATCAACATGTAGTAACACATTCTGAAACACAGATTCAACTCATGCAGATGGAGCATTGCACTTCGAAACACAATTATTCATTCGTCTCTGGAAAACATCCCACTGCATGAACATAAAAATAGTCAATTATACTTGATTAAGACACACACTGTTCTAACACTGAAAATGTTGAACAAGAAAACATGGCAGAATGTTCCCTCACCAGTTTTGCATGGACAGTGGCCTCCTCCATGAACTTGGCAATACCAGTGACGAAGGCTGTTCTGTCCTCAAAGTTGGTGTCAAAGTTGGCCTGGAAGTGTTTAAAAAGTGATCAATGCCTGAACATACAGGATGTGATAACATGTAACGTTACATACACTTTCCTATACTAACTTGGATGGCATCATGCATTCTAAAGGGAAAGACACAATGATGATGAAGTGCATGATATAAGTTAATCTCATACAAGTGAGTTTATAGCAAATTATACAAAATATTTCCTTACATTGGAAGATTAAGATCAAGATGATCAATATGATTTTATTCCTGTTTTCAAAATTGAGTTGTACACCTGAACTATAAAAGGACAGGTGTGTAAGGTGTTACCTGATAAACAATAGAGGCAGGTGGGGGTTGGCTACAGGTGTGTAAGATGTTAAACCTTACCTGATAAACAATAGAGGCAGGTGGGGGTTCGATACATGGCTGCTGATCGGGAAGGGCAATGTCTTCTAGAAGGTCAACGTTCGACAGGGCGTCCTCCAAGGTCACTGATGTCGCCATGGTGATGGCTAGGCTGTAAACAACAACAAAATAATGTAAACAACATGTCATCAAAACAACATCAACAAAAACATTCTTAAAACAACGTCAACAAACATAATTTAACAAGACAACACCATCAACGCAATCCTCTGAAACTTTTCGATAAAACTGTAGAGTATGTTTTGGCTTCCTGTCATGTTATTTTACTACATGCTTTACCAATGACAGTGTATGACAAATCCCCCCCTGCGTGTTACGCAGTACCTGTTCAAAATCAAGATCAATTGTAAGAAATGTGCATCTTTCCAGAAGACACAGAATACTTTTTGTATCGAGCTAATTTGACTTAATTAGACGCAAATTAAGTGATGACGAACCGACAAAAAAGAGGAAAACAATTAGGCTTCAGATTGTCAGGAAAGGACTTAAGAAACCTTTTTTTAAGTTCTTCCATGGACATTATACAGAGTGTAGTATAATGTCCTTGGTTCTTCTAAGAACGTAACGCCGATGATGAGGAGAAACGAGAAAAGAAGACGTTTACAACAACTCAGACGCCCATTTCCTGTCAGACGGCAGATATCAGATCTGTACATGGAGATAAACATCTGCCCACATATTTTGCTGGTGAAAATAAAACGCACGGATGTACCGGGTTTGTGTTACCAGTAACGTGTCTGTGTGCCTAGCCGTGATCATTCAGACATATACAACAGTAACAACAAACCTCTACAGGCGACAAACCGGGTGACAACACGAAAATCACGTTAGAAACCTTAATATTTTGGAGAACAATAATTTTTGGGTGGAGCTCTTCCGCCCCCCTCCCCACCGTCATTGCGCAAACGTTCTATACTCCCCGCTTACGACAGAGTAAAAACGGTGTACTGAATATACTTGTGAATCCATTTCACGTCTGTAGGAAGGTTTAAAACAGACAGACGACGTGAAAACTGGGCGAAATTCTTACCTGGACCCGCGGCCGTCTGCAAAATGGCGGTCAGCCTGTTTACTTCCGCTTTCACGGCATCATGGGAAGGGCGGGCGGGCGAGTCCATACGGAAAAAGGTATTCCCGTTCATATGTAGCTCAATAAATCTCACATTTTATGCACATTTGAGAAAGTCTGAAAAGTCTGCACGTCAAGTAAAATACATGTAGTTTTGTAAAGATATTAACAGTTGTGTTGGTTGATATGGCATTTGAAATGTTGAAATTAAGGTTTATAACATTCATGTATTCCCTATTCAGGAATGGACTGGGTTGAAATATCACTCATTCGGCCCAACAATGACCCCAGGCGACCCCAGGCCGTGGTACGAGTCGAGTCAGGCTTGCTGTAACTTTGTGAAACGTCTGTCGTGTCTCCGGTACTTCTGGTGTGTTATTCAGGATGATCGGACAGAAATAACAGTTTCAGGTAAGTAAGGAGGGGTTTTTCGTCGTCTCTGGTGGAACAGAACGGAGTTTAGCCAGGTTTGGTTTCAGGTTTTGAAGTTGTCAAAACTCCATGTGTGAGCCACATGTTGGAAGGTGGACAAAACGATATAAATGGTAGAACTTGAACTTGAAATCTCACATGGGTGATGTCTATTTGGCCCTTTTTATAAGAATAATTGTAAGAGATTATAAGAGATTTGAGTGACTCTCAGAAAGGTATCAAAGTAAAGGAGTACTACTATGTTCATCCATGGAGTTAAACCACCTTGGTTCATCCAAAATCCATCATTTTTAATACCTCAACCCAAATTTAAGAGCATTTAAATATTGTTCTTGTTGTCTGTCTGTCTGTGTTTCTGTAGGCTGGCAGAGGTGGAGTCTGGGATACTAATGTTTGAGATGATGATGTTTGTTTGTTTGTTTGTTTAGGATGGCAGAGATGTCGGAGAAGCGTCCGGTCCTGCGGAGTCCGTCCGGCAGCCGGGAGCGCCCGCACTCCGTCCCGACCCTTGACCTGGACAGGTGTCTGCAGACGCTGCGACAGGCCAGATCCGACAGCGAACAGTTCGCTGCTCTGCTGCTGGTGGGTAACTTACTAACTAACTAACTAACAAACACTCCGACAGCGAACAGTTCGCAGCACTGCTGCTGGTGGGTAACTTACTAACTAACTAACTAACATACACTCACTCACTCAGGCCAGATCTGACAGCGAACAGTTCGCAGCTCTGCTGCTGGTGGGTAACTCACTAACTAACTAACTAACATACACTCACTCACTCAGGCCAGATCCGACAGCGAGATGTTCGCGGCGCTACTGCTGGTGGGTAACTAACTAACTTACTAACTAACATACACTCACTCACTCACTCACTCAGGCAAGATCAGACAGTGAACAGTTCGCAGCTGTTGGTGGGTAACTAACTAACTAACTTACTCACTAACTAAGTTACAAACTCACACTCACTCTGACAGCGAATAGTTCGCTGTGCTACTGCTGGTGGGTAACTTACTAACTATCTAACAAACTTACTAACTAAATAAGAAACTAACTCACTCACTCTGACAGCGAAACAGCTGCTCTGGTGGGCTCACTAACCAACAAACTAACACACTCACACTCATGCACTCACCCCTCTGACAATGAACAGTTCGTGGCACTGTTACCGGTGGGTACTCATTCACTAACTAACAAACACATCCACTTACTCACTCACTCACTTACTCACTGCCCCTAAGGCCTGAAATAGCGATGGGACGACATGTAAATGTAACGTTACCTTTACTTTTTTTAACACCCCACTCCATGCCCCCCCCCCCTGCAGGTAACTAAGATGGTCCAGGCCCAGGAGACAGACGCCGCGACTCGCAGGAAAATCTTTGATGCCGTCGGTTTCACCTTCCCCAACAGGCTGCTCAAGTCTGGTCAGTTTCTTATGTTTCCAACGGAAGTGTAAGGTTTTACATTGGAAAATGATCATGTTCTTGGGACACAGCCTGAAGAAAAGTTACCTAGCCTGAAGAAAAGTTACCTGGCTGACATGTGAGTGAGTTTACAGCCACATTTGTGGCTGTCTCACTCACAGGCCTGAAGGGACAGTGCAATGTTCTACTCCTTGCTGCAGTACCACTCTCTGCTGTATGGTGGCACTGTGGCAAGGACGTGGCCCCAAACGTGACTGAGTCTAGATCTGTTTCCCATTGGAGTATATTTTCTCTGGTCCTGCATGTATGTGTGTGTGTGTTAGTGTGATATCATTTCTGTTTATTTGGCCATGGCAGGTACAAACCTCTCTGCTGGTTGTAGGATGACCGGCAATTAATATATCATGTTGAAGACACTGCAGTATCAAAACTCCCACCTACCCGAAGGCCTGCACAGGAGGCTTCTATTACACAGTTCTTCCTCATAATGTGAGTTTATAGTTTCTTGTTTGTTTCATGTTTGTTTGTTTGTTTGTTTGTTTGTTCCCACAGCAGGAGGACCAGAAGGAGACATCTACCGAGCCCTGGGAGTCACCATCTTCTCCTGCTTCTGTACAGACAGCCAGCTGGTGAGAAACTTTCCCTGTTACACCACAGTGGCACCAGTTTCATTTGTTTGGTTCTCAATTTTTTAGAAAAATTCTGAGATGACAGAAAAAAAAACAACTTCTCATCTATTTTTCAGGTTCTTCATCATCATGTGACATCAAAAATCCCACTTTTCAATGACATCATCGTAGAACCTCCGGGGTGAGTCTGTGACAATCTCGCATTTTCTACTGGATTTGTAGATTTTAGGTTATAGGTTGTACAACACATCTCATTACCTATAGTATAAGTAAGTTTCTATTTTCACAGTGGCTCTGTCAGCTCTGTTGGAGTAAATAGTAGAAACTAACTTGGTGCTGAGTGATCATGACAAGACTGGGGTAATACACAGCTGATGTGAAATGTACAATTTGTCATCTGTCTGTACCAAAAGACCAACCCTAACCTAAGCCTTAACTGTTCAACAAACCCCCGTCACGCTGCACACACGCAGCTCTGTGGTGCTTTCTTTTTATTTTTGAGTAATTGGTGTAGCTGTAGGCTATTATACAAGGCCAAACACAGGGTAAAATGTGTGTGAAAGATGTTTTTATATCAGAAATGTTAGAATGTTTTGAACTTGCTCCTCCTCTCCTACAACTTCTGAAACTACTGAACAACAGAAAGTTCCTATTCAAGGACACCCGTCTAACACAAACACTGTTTCCCCTTAAGACAATATTTCCCACTATAAAAAGTTTTTAACAACACAGGTTTTGTTTCTCTTTAAGTAGACCGTACACAACCAGCACAATCGGCACAACAAAGGCAGTTGTTGTTTTAGGAACTGGAACTGAAGCTTGAATACAGTAAATCACTAGAGCTTTAGTGTTGAATAACATTCCAAACCTACGGTGCAGTTTCTCTGCCACTGGTTTCAATGGCCTCCCTGAGCACCAATGTTGTTGTAAGGAACTCAGTAACACCAGCAACAATTAATAAATAATGAGGCAACAAAAAGCTGAGAGTCGTGTGCTGGAAATGTTTTCACATGTCCTTCCTTCGTGGGATCCAGACTGGCCTCTGTGTGTAAGTATAAGTTATCCTGTCAAACAACTGAAGTACTTACTTACTTACTTTGCTAAGGCACTTAGAACTGGGAAACTCTCCTGGTTTCCAGTCAAAACACACCAATTCAATTTCCGTAAATAATTTCATCAGGTTGGAAGATACTTAGGGTATAGAATTTTCTTCTAACACAACCAGTAAGGTTCTCACCTGCTTACGTTTCGATGTCTATCAGACACCTTCCTCAGAGCTTCTGACTGGAGTTCTGCAACTCGCCACTATTTAACGCCAATTCAATTTGTTTGTCTTTCCCTGATATTTAATAAGATATACTCATGAGTTTTCACCATTGTCCAAACAGTTTCAGGGAGTGAGTAAAGTTTCATTTAAGTTGTAGTTACAGTGGCCAGTAACAGCTAAGACTTTGCTGGTGTCGGTTTTTAGTCCAGCCTTGTTGTGTTGGTCTGTTATATTGTACGGTTGCCACTAGTGGAGCTTGTTTACGGGTTATTTGATGTGGTCAGATCAAGTTCTTTGTAACCATTATCAAAACAAAAAACAACTCTTTGTTATATTAATGTGTTTGTAACATTGGATGAACAGGATGAATAGATCTACAAGTTTCCCAAGTTTTTGTAGAAGTCCGAAAATTTCTCCCACATTTTAAATCAGATATTCCTGTTCAGAGCCCAGCAGTGAAAACACCTCCTTGGTTCCACCTCAGGTTTCTGTGGAGATGTTTGTTCTCTAAGCAGGTGTTTCAGATGTCTTAAAACTTAAGTAGGCAGAACCTCTCGAGTGGTTTAAGTTGTCCTCCAGAAGGTTTTCTTCTTAATTCGCCCATTGAAGCATTTCTTCTAACGTTACCTGATTAACTTACTGTTTGACATAAACATGGACTTTTTGAAAGAATAAGTAAGTGAGACAGAAAAGATTCATTCATCTGCAGTTTGCATGGACAGTAACAGCAGTAAACATGTCACCAAATATCTTTAAGGCGTTTAATTAGGCTCAGTCTCAAGTGTTTCTAAGCCTGCTTGAAACGTAACTTGAAGTGCCCAAAGTCCTCCTTAATTAAGCCTGGAAAGTTTCAGTAATGTAGGAAGGTTGTGGGAGTGAGAGGTGGCTGATCGTGTAGTGCAGTTACACCACAGCTTGTGTTTTAACCAAACACTCTGGTGAGGATCACTACTCTACTCCACAGCCGTGCTCAAGTCTTAAACAGTGCAGCCTTTGAACCTGTCAAGTCGTCATTCTCCTGCCACAGAAGAACATTCATCCCTGCTACAGTCGAGCCGTGGAACTGTCTCCCACAGGACATTGTCGACACCAGGGACCTTCCGAACTTCAAACGTAAAGTCAACGCCTACCTCAGCGACCTGTATAGCAAGCGTTATTCAGTACAGCTGCTTGGTGATAGCATAGAAAGAAAAAAAAGAAAAAAATGTCGTTCCCTTTCTGTAGCTCCTCAGCAGATGACCAGGCGACACACCACACGATGGTGGAGGACTGTTACCAGTGTCTGCTGGCCATCGGCGCCACACCGGCGGGGAGAACTCAGCTCATCAATAGGGACTCTGTACCGGTGCTCTGTCAGGCTGTCAGCAAGAAAATGTACGGTAAGTGGAGGGTTGTTTGTTTCACGTAACCTGTAAACTGCCTTGCCCTTTAGACATATCACAACGTACAGTTTTGCACAGTAACCACAAGCTGCAAGAGGCCGGACTGTCAGGTTTGAACCACTCACACTGGGAAGGACTGGTACTCCGACATTGTTACTAGTATTGTATTCAGACCCAGATTGTTGTTGTTTCTGCAGGTTGTTGGCAAGAACGTTTAGCCCTTTTGGTCATAATGAAGTATACCAACACAGATGAACTTTCATGCTAATAATGTTTATTTATTTTGTTGTTTGCACAGGTTATGGCCAGGCGATGCAGATCATGAGGCAGCTCCTGTGTGAACATGGGAGGGAACTCTGGAACAAACACGGAGACGCGCTCACAAACCTGCTCACCAACATGGCCAAGGAGTTCTCAGACGCTGATGTGAGTTCACGCAAGGTTCTGCATGAACAACTATGGAAGGGGTCACTCACTGTCCAGTTTATCATCTGTTGTTCTCCGTCTTCCGAGGGTTAGACATGCTTGCACTGTGGTACTGAGGTCATGGAAATGAAAAGAAACCTACAGTGGGTGGCACTGGAAGACAGACGAAAAATGTCATGATGTATAAAAACTGGCAAAAGTAGCAATTAATAAATTGGTGGACATACCAGCTACCTAATACCAGCGCAAAAAAGAACAAGAATTATTCTGTATCTGTACCTAGCCAGTATAACTTCTTTACTTTACATGTACAAAATGTACTTGTTTTCTAGACCTGAGTTCTCCAATACCACAGGCAATTCACCCCCTGACACTTGTACATCCTACAGTCTGACTGTTTGTTTGTTTGTTTGTTTGTTTGTTTGTTTGTTTGTTTGTTTATTTGTTTGTTTGCTTGTTTTTCAGGACATCAGCAAGTTTGTGCTGTGTGAAGATCTGGTTCTTCTGCTGTCAGGCAGAGACAAGGTAAAGTCTGTGCCTTAGACTATAGTCATCACTAAACCAGCTTAGTAGAAACTTAATAAAAATAAAATACGCCAAAAAAAAAACAGTTACTCAAGCAACTGGATATGATTTTTGAAATGGTCAGATGCTTCAGGTGACTCTGGAGAGTTGTTAAAAAGGAAGGTTTAAAAAAGTACAAACTACACAATGTATTGATTGGTATTATGGAAATCATTGAAGACAAAAGGAAACAAAAGTTAGACATCATTAAAACACAGACAGACTCAAAGACAACCAGTGTGTTACTGTGTTGCAGCAGCTGAGATGCCACTGGGTTTGTATGAGGGTACAGAAGGATTAACAGCATGTTTTTCTGCATGTTTTTCTTTAGGATTCTGGAGACTTTCTTCAGTACACCTGGGCGGAAGACGTCCTGACGGGTCTCTCAGACATCCTCGGGAGTTACATCGGTCTGTCTTAAAGTGTCTTCTTTTGTTAGCATGAAAGTTCATCTTCTGAGTTGGTAAAATTCATGAAGAAAATTAAACTGTTCTCCAACTAAAAGAGAAATTAACTCACCTTTTTGTGTATTACTCTGTTTTTCTGACGTGTAAGATAACTGTAAACATTGTAGTTTGTTTATTCCCTTGTCTAAGGTAGCTACAAACACTTTGTTGTATCCAGAACTGTGCTTAAAGTATCCAGAACCATACTCAAGCATGATTCTGGATAGTCCACAATTCAGAACCATGCCTGGGGCTACTTTGCATTCTTGGCTATGCGGAGACTATCCACAACTGTGTCTGATCCTAGCCCTAACCCTAACCCATTCATGCTCAGAACTAGCTAGGCACAGTTCTGGATTATGTGTAGACTATCAGGATAAAGCATGGTCCTGGATAGAAGAGTTTCTCCTTGTTTCTCCCCAGAGAAACTTGTTAGAAAACTGTAAACTGTGTAGTTTTTTTTTTAAATCCCTTCTCTAATGGCTGTGGCTACTGTCCACCCAATTGTATCCTACCCTAACTTAATCAGGCATAAAACTAGATAGGCATGGTTCTAAATAAAACACCCTCCTGTTACCCGCCCCCCCCCCCAGGCCCTGAGCAGAGGAACCCTGCCCTGGAGCATAGAACTGGCTAGGCATGGTTCTGGATATGAGTAGACTATCAGGATAAAGTATGGTTCTAGGTCAGTATAAGGCACGGTTCTGGACACGTGTAGACTATGGTTCTGAATAAAACACTCTCCTGTTCCCCCCCAGGCCCAGAGCAGAGGAACCCTGCCCTGGAGCTGGCCTCCCTCGTGTTGGACCATCTCGGCATCGAGTGGGCGATGTCAGCCAATGTCAAGTTCGTGCTGCTGCTGGTGAACTTGGCCTGCGTGGAGGTCAGGATGGTGCTGGAGGATCCAGATGTCAAACAGGTCTGTGTGTGGGTTTGTTTGAATCTTTCTAGCTTCATTTTTGTATACTAAGGGTTCATATCATTTGGTCTTTGTAACAATGGCCTGGATTGGGCATGCACAAATTATAGGGGTGGCCATACGCCATTCAGAAGCCTTGTAACATCTCAACTGTTGGCAAAGATAAACTTCATAATCATGGACAGCACAACTGAATTACATTTTCTGCTGAAGTCTGCCCTGATGTGTGCTGAGGTCGTGTTCCTGTTGTGTTCAGGTTGTGCTATGGATGTGTTCCTGATGTTGTAGTTATGTACAGTACTGACTGTTCCCTTGTGTTCAGGTTTTCCCGAAGTCTTCCCTGATGTGTGCGTGTTACAACATCCTGGAGTCTGCCATAATGTACACCTCCTGCACACCTGACCTCCCGCTGGACACAGTTGTGTGCCTGATGTTGTGTGCCTGATGTGTTCAGGTTGTGTTCAGGTTGTGCTGAGGTTGTGTGTATGTTGTACACAGGTCCTACAGAAGTCCTCCCTGATGTGTGCGTGTTATAACATCCTGGAGTCTGCCATAATGTACACCTCCTGCACACCTGACCTCCCACTGGACCCGAAGCAGGTGGAGCAGCTGGTGGAGTCTCTGCAGGGGGCGTATGTCGGCGTCACGTTTTTTCTGGCACAGGTGGCAGAGCAGCCACAGGACATGGTGAGTAATCCTGTAGTAGTACATGTAGTAGTAGTGGTAGTAGTGTAGTAGTGTCTGCAGTAGCTGTAGTAGCAGTTGGTGGAGTCTCTGCAGGGGGCGTATGTTGGGGTCACATTCTTCCTCGCATAGATCGCTGAGCAGCCGCAGGACATGGTGAGACTACTGCACATCCTGTAGTACATGTAGTAGTGGTAGTGTAGTAGTAGAAGTACATTTGTAGTGGTGGTAGTTGTAGTAGTAGTGGTAGTAGTACTAGTAGAAGTACTGTTACAGTAGTACTAGTAGAAATACTGTTACAGTAGTACTAGTAGAAGTACTGTTACAGTTACTGTAGTACTAGTAGAAGTACTGTTACAGTAGTACTAGTAGAAGTACTGTTACAGTAGTACTAGTAGAAGTACTGTTACAGTAGTACTAGTAGAAGTACTGTTACAGTAGTACTAGTAGAAGTACTGTTACAGTAGTACTAGTAGAAGTACTGTTGCAGTAGTACTAGTAGAAGTACTGTTACAGTAGTACTAGTAGAAGTACTGTTACAGTAGTACTAGTAGAAGTACTGTTACAGTAGTACTAGTAGAAGTACTGTTACAGTAGTAGTAGAAGTAGAAGTAGTGACTGTAGTAGTGGTAGTAGTAGGAGGAGAAGTAATAGTAGAAGTGACTGTAGTAGTAGTAGGAGGACGAGTTGTAGTAGAGAGAAGATACGGTACCCTATTTTACAAATGTAGCTTTGCTAATGGCTTGAGTGTCGACCATTAAACAAAGTTCCCCCCTCCTGCTTCAGTGGTTCCACCCGCTGGTGACTGCGTCAGTGCGAGTTTTGGGGGCCTGGCTGGCCGAGGAGACATCAGCACTGAGGGAGGAGGTCTACAGGATACTGCCTTTCCTAGTCAAACTGGGGTTTGTTTGTTTATTGTTTGTTTGTTTGTTTGCTTGTTTGTTTTTGGCTGGCAGAAGAGACTTCAGCACTGAGGGAGGAGGTCTACAGGATACTGCCTTTCCTCATCAAACTGGGGTTTGTTTGTTTATTGTTTGTTTGTTTGTGGCTGGCAGAGGAGACGTCGGCACTGAGGGAGGAGGTCTACAGGATCCTGCCTTTCCTCATCAAACTGGGGTTTGTTTGGCCTAGTGTTTACAGTGAGTTGTAGTAGTGGTAGTTCAGCACCAAGGACAATTATTATTGCTGTAAAGGAAAGTGAAGGCTTGATTCTTATGGCTAACCAAGATCCTACAATTCCTCATCAAGCTGTTGCGGGCGGGTTTACTGTTTTTATTTGTAATGAGAAGATGGAATGATAATGTGCACAGTTGGATGAAAATCAGGGTTGGTTGTTAGTTCAGCACCAAGGACAGTCACCTATGCTGTACATGAAATTGAAAGCTTGGTTCTTGTGGTTAACATTTCTCTGCCAATAAGATAGAAAAAAATTCAAAAGAAGGCAGGAAAAAGAGATGTTCTTTTCACTGTTCCCAATATGTCGGCTGGAGAGTGAGTGGTGTAACTTGTACATTTTCCTCAATTATGTAGGAGTTTGTCACTAGAGACTAGTGAGGACCAGTCTACTGGAGCTGCGGGGGTGTCCAGCCTGTCTCAGGAGATGGAAGAGTTAGATTTACACAAAGAAAAGGAGCCTTACTTACCCAAGTCTGGGGTACTCAGGTATGGCACGGATCAGTTGATTTTATCTTTTTTAATAGAAAAAGAAACTACAGCTTAAATTTGCTTGAGTACTAGTAACTGTTTCCTTGTGCATCTCATCACCTGGATGTCTGACCTTCATGGATAGAACTTGACCTAGACTTTATCAAGGTTTATTTAATTGAAACTCTCCTTTAGCTGCCCACCCGAGGGTGACAGCTATTCTTCCAGGAGAGTACATAAAACATAACAAAACATAAAAACGTAAACATACACATACTTAACATAGTTATTTAAAAGAAACAAATGTGTAACATCATATTTGCTTTACTTATTTATGTCCCTCATGTCACCTTGACCTTGGACAGAACTTGACCTACACCTTGCCCGTGACCTCCGCAGCTTCCTGTTACCGGGTCTGTGCCACCTGACGGCTGAAACCCGACCCCGGGGCATCCTGATGCAGCTGCAGGTGCACCAGGTGCTGGCCAGGTGTCTGCAGCTGCACCTGTCCTGCTTCCTCAGCACTAAGGCTCACGAGGCAGAGGTGAGATTTCTTTATTATATATCCCTCAAAATCATATACATTATAATACTCACATCATTTTGCACAAAGGCTCACGAGGCAGAGGTCCGAAAGTATAGTCATCTCTCCATGTCATTATGTCTTAGTCTTATAAGTACAGGACAAAGCCCTCTCTGGTCCAGGTGGACGGCTAAGTACAGCCAGTTGTGGTGGTGCTCGAAACAAAGTGAAAATCTAAACTAGCTGTACAAAGTAAAAAAAAAAAAAGATATTGCAAAACTCTTAGTTTGTTTGTTCACATTTTTCAGAATTGTGGAGTTTGGGCCTCTCCTTGTGTATGTCAATAAGTAATATCTAGATCTCTAGCTTTATCCAGAACCATGCTCGGGTACAGCTAGTCCATGCATCTCCAAAACCATGCCTAAGGCAAATTTATGTTCTCAAATACGTTCAGAGACTATCAGAATGTCAGAAGAAAAGTAGTCCTTGATTCTTGTGTTTGACATATATAGTAATGTTATATCATGAAAAATTTAACTGTTGAAGAAAACCTGCTTCAGTGATAAGTGAGCTAACCGGCTGCAATCCCGCCTGCCTCCTCTAGATGGCGCTGCGCACGCTGTGCGGAATCTTCCTGAACCTGCTGGTGCTGAGTCCGGAACACGTGACCTCTCACCCCAACATGGCCGCCCTGCTGCACAGGATCATGGGAGCTGTGCCACAGTTAGGCAAGTTTCACTCAGCAGACAAACTTCAAATAAAGGCCTGGATTTCTCATGTTGTTTTGGACCACAAGGAGAATAGCAAACAGTCTAAACTGAAGCTTCATGTAATGGTATATTAGATAGTGTCAAGGTCTATTTGTGTGTGGCCTTTTGGTCATTGTATGATGTCAATTGTAGGGAAAAATCAACAACAGGTGTCAAAAAAACTGCTTTGACAAAGCTTTCAGAAAGACAATTGCGAGTTTTCTTGAAATATAATTCTTTAAACTTCTCTAGACTTGAACTAGTGTGTGTTTAAGTTTGTAACCTTGCACTAGTGTGTGTTTAAGTTTGTAACCTTGCACTAGTGTGTGTTTAAGTTTGTAACCTTGCACTAGTGTGTGTTTAAGTTTGTAACCTTGCACTAGTGTGTGTTTAAGTTTGTAACCTTGCACTAGTGTGTGTTTAAGTTTGTAACTGAGTAGTTCTGTTTGTAAACTTTTACTAGTGTATGTGTAAGTTTGTAACCTTGTACTTGACCCCGTGTGCCCCCAGGCTGCCCTGAACACACCGTCCTGCTGGCTAACTTTGTGGTTCTCTGTCTCATGCAGGCAAGACATGTCAAAGGTAAGGAGATCTGTATTTCTTATCATTCTGAAATATTGAAATATTCACCTTTTACTTAAAGTTTTCTTTCTAGCCAGGAAGAATGGTCTCATCTCTCTTCAAGAGGTATTGAAAATGAAAGGAACAATTCTACTTGTAGCAGATACTAAAGGAAAGGGATAGAATTTCTTAGAAGTCTGACGAGATCTAAAATTTGGCAATAACATTTCTACAGATGGCAGTTAACACAGGCATGGTCCCCCCTCCCCATTTCCATGAACATCAGGGTTGGTTGTTAGTTTAGCTCCAAGGACAGTCACCAATGCTGTCAATGAAAATGGAGATCCATTCTCATGGCTAAAATTTCTGTGTCACCAAGTTGGAAAAATGTTCAAAAGAAGACATGAAAAGCTTAGAGAAGTTATATAGCTGTCCCCAATGTCAGTTGGAGAATAGATGTTGTCAGCCCAACAGTCACCATTAACGGTGTAATTCTGCCTCGTCATAGTAAATCCTGCAGACCTTTCCAGATGTGTGTGAGTCACACAGAAATTTCTCACCTGGGGTGACAGAAATACATTACACATACATGTAGCTACAAATCACACTATAATACATCACATTACAACACATCATACCATAAACTGAGCTGGGGGATGGGCTTGGACATGTTAGCTGTCAGTTCTCATGTTTTTAACTAAAATAATGCTGAATTGAAACATCTGACTGAGTATGGAAGCTAAGTCTATGGGTAAAGTTGGTGCACACAGTCTCAAGGAGTTACTGTAGCCAAGTGCATCACGTCTTCCCAGCCCCAGGGGTGGGAAAGAATTCATACGAATTTTACGGAATACATACGAATTTTACGGAATTCATACGAATTTTACGGAATACATACGATCCACTACTCGGAAACATACAAATTTTACGGAATACATACGATCCATTACCAGAAACATACGATCCTTACTAATTTGGTGACCTGCGCCTGGATCACGTGACCTCCGCGGCAAATTCAAGATGTCGGACTCTACTCTAGCGAAGGATTGTGTATTTTCATTTCTTCATAGAATATCTTGGTTTTTAAGGACTTCAAGGGCTTATCCCGTCCTGCTAAACACCAGGAACCTCAACCTGCACTTATGTGGGCTTTCTTGGCGACATTTTGGTCTGTATTTTAAGCCAAATAGCAGGGCGAGACTGAGACTCGGTGATCCAGGTGCAGGTCACCAAATTAGTAAGGATCGTATGTTTCCGTGTAATGGATCGTATGTATTCCGTAAGGATCGTATGTTTCCGTGTAATGGATTGTATGTATTCCGTAAGGATCGTATGTTTCTGGTAATGGATCGTATGTATTCCGTAAAATTCGTATGTTTCCGAGTAGTGGATCGTATGTATTCCGTAAAATTCGTATGAATTCCGTAAAATTCGTATGTATTCCGTAAAATTCGTATGCATTCTTTCCCACCCCTGAGCCCTCTGTTTTTGTATTGACTCTTGTTGAATTGCTCAGTTGAAATATCAGAAAACCAAGTCAGTCCCTTGGTCTGGCCTGTAAGAGTGAGTTATAGCACCCACAGCCCAGCCTACATTAGTGTGTGACTCAGACCTGTGTTAATGTTATAATTGTGATGATGCTCTCAGGCAGTGACTGTAGCCACATTCCAGATGTCCCAGCCTTTCGTTTTTATCTTACTGAATTGACATGTCAGAAAAGTCAGTCCCTTGGTCTGGCCTGTAAGAGTGAGTTATAGCACCCACAGACCAGCCCACATTAGTGTGTGACTCAGACCTGTGTTAATGTTATAATTGTGATGTGTCGTGTGACAGTACGGAGTGATTCACAGTGTGTATCGGTCTGCTGATGTCTCCTGGTGAGTCAGCTGAGTTATGCCTGTTTCTCAGGCCTAGGAAAAACATTGTCAGATCGTGGAGCTAGAAAAGGTTGATCAGCTTGAAAAATTTATGTGCCTTGCACGGATTCAAAAGGATTGGGTGTTTGAAGCTGGTTGTAGATTATTGTCATGTTATTGTATCATAGTCCAAGTCTCTGTTCATTATTTGATTCACTATTAGTTCTAAATGACACCTTGAATTAGATGTGCAAAGATAAAACATAACCAGTTTTATGTGACATACATAACATCTGTGTCCATAATATCACCAGGGTCCATAATATCGCCACCTTGAGAAATAGTGTGCTTAAAGATATTTTTACTGCAACATACTTTTGGTATGCACTCCTTCTGAACAATACAGACACAGAACACACCACCTAATGTCACATGTATAATACATGTATGTCCCTCCCTGTCTCAGTTCTAGATTCCCCACCAGCTTTATTGTCCTTGTCCCATTTGTGCTTCCATCTGTCCTTGTCTGCTTTTGTGTGGTTCAATTTTGCTTATTTAGTTACATCAATCATGTTTCAGACCTCAATTCTTAACCACAGATGTATGTCTTGGGACCATCCTTACCCCCGAGTCTCGTATCAATCATGTCTTAGAGCTTTTTTCTTAGCTGCTTCTTGAGAAGTTCCTGTCCTTGTCTTGGATCAGGTGTGCATCTTATTTATGCTGATGGACAAAACGGGGACAAGATAAGAAACGTGATCTTTCACCCTCCTGCTCCAGTTCTGTTGTCTTCTGTCCTGAACCTTTTCAATCAGCAAACTAGAGCTGCACATACTGTAGGTCACAGTTGTCCTTCCCAACTTTTAGTTATCACTATGAGAATCAGGGTTAGTTGTTAGTTCAGCACCAAGGACAGTTCTGCTGTTCCCTATCTGCAGCCTAGAAGTTAGGTTTCCTTCCCAAACTGAGTCATACTTGTCTGAAGACAATTAAAGTTACCATTGTGAAAATCAGGGTTGGTTGTTAGTTCAGCACCAAGGACAGTGACAAGGCTGTGATAAAGATAGAGATTTGTTCTCATTTCTGTGTCACCACGTCTGCAAAATGTTTGAATGAAGACAGGAAAAACTTACAGAGACGTTCTAACGGCTGTACCCAGTGTCAGCCGGAAAATGAATGTTACTTTTACACATGTAGGTCACGGATTTCCTTCCCAAACAGAGACATACTGGTCTGAAGAGGTCTGCATCATAACTTGTTACCACTGTGAAAATGAGGGCTGGTTGTTAGTTCAGCACCAAGGACAGCCACCAATGCTGCATACACAAGCACAGTACTAATTGATTCTCTTTGCAGGATTAGTTGAAATGTTTTGTAGTTTTTCTTGAAGACTTGAGTCATACTGGTCTGAAGACGTGTGCATCATAACTTGTTACCACTATGAAAATCAGGGCTGGTTGTTAGTTCAGCACCAAGGACAGCCACCAATGCTGTACACAAACATAGTATCAAATGATTCTTTGTGCAGCACTCAGCTAGAAAAATCTTTACAATTTTTTGCAAAGTTTAACAGTTTCCTTCAAGACTTTGTTGTTTGTTCTTAAGACTTGCAGGAGACGTCTATGACGAGACAGTTCTTCTGCACAGCTGTGCAGTTCCTGGGCGGGGCGTACCATGTCACACACGGGGGGGACCAGAAGCACCTGTGTGTCTCTCCAGCGTACAGTCAGCACTGGGACAGCATCTCGGAACTTTGGTTCCTCGGCATGCAAGGTGGGCATGCAATTATAGGGTCACAAGTATGCAAATTAGACAGTTATCAAGAAAGATGTCTAGACTATGCATGATGTACAAAATGACTAATAAACTGGTGGATGTCCCAACTACTAAGTACCTAATACCAGCCCAGAAGAGAACAAGAAATAGCCACGCATTCAAGTACCAGAGTTATCAACCAAGGATTGAGGTGTTCAAGAATTCATTCTTTCCTAGAACTATTGCAGAGTGGAACTCACTGTCACCAAGTACCGTAGGGGCACTGTCAATAGATAGCTGTAAACAATGTCTAGAGCTAGAAGTTCAAGGGTTAGGTGTAACAAGTCGATCGGTGTAATATAGCCAGCTGCCGCCGCGCCGCGTGCCTGCGAAGCTGGTGTGTTACGCCGAAAGGCGGTTATACCGGCTATACAGATACAGATACAGATACAGTTATAGGGTCATTAATATGCAAATTAGACAGTCTTGGTATCTTAGCATGAAGAAATTACTGAAAACATACAAGTTGAAAACATACATTTGTACAAGTTGGCTTCATTGTTACATAAAGTCTTGTAGACATTTGATTTCAGTGATGTTGACTTATGTTATTTCATATGTTGTATAATTCTCTCTTTGTAAAGTTACAGAACAGTTAAATGTATAGAACTGCAAATCTGACCCAAACCTTTCCCATTCCAGCTCTGGTGTCATGTATCCCCCAGTTTCCATGGTTACCAGCAATTTTCCTAGAAACGGGCCTGCTGAAGAATGTTGTTGCTCTGTTACAGGACATTCCAGGTAATTTTTGACAAAATATTTATACAAAAACACAAACGAAAGTTCAGCTACGCTGGGGAGCTTTCAAGATGCACTCTGTCTCTTCTTCAACCCGGTTAAGATCTCGTCTTGGAATTCTCTTGTCATGCGTTTCTGCAGTTATGGAATGTTGGGTCACTTCTGTATCTCTCAATCTTTCACTAAGTATCTAATGTAACACTTGCAGTTTCCTGTGCATCAGAGAGAATGTTTAGTGTGATCAAAGACACAGCTATGGAAGTTTGACTATCTTCTGAGTTTCTTAGTGCATCAGTGATTAATGTTCAGCGTGATTAAATTAATCAGCTATGGAGTGTTGGGGCATATCTGTAGCTTTTAGAGTTTTGCTGATGTCCAATGTAACAGTTACAATTGTTACAGTTAAATGTCTAATGTAACAGTTATATGTGCAGCATTTTTGATGTAACAGTTCCATGTCGATTGTCTTGCTGACAGGTGGTGAATTTGACCTTGACACCGTCGACCTCTACCAGAACATGGTGGTGGAAGTTGCAAAGCATGATGGGAGGTGTCAGCAGTGGCTGCAGCAGAATGGAGGCTTGGAAGTGGCAAGGTCATTCAATGTCATTTAAACTCATCTCTTTTACTGATTTTTACAAGAAAAACAGAAGATGGATGAAAATTAGTGTTTGAGTCTTCAGTTATGTGCCCTGAATGTTCAGCCTTCTGAGATCCTCAAGCTGGCTACAATACTAAAAGAAAAGTAGTACAAAAACTAATCGTGATTTCTTGGTAGGAACTGTCAGATACTAATTAAACTAACTCACAGCCGGCCTTGTGGATGGATAAGACTGGTTTAGTGCTTATCAAACCGACTCGATAATTGTGAAGTCACATGGGGTCACCCAAGGTCAGACCTTTTCTCTCTGTTTAAGTTGTTTCTGTAGTTCTGTGAAGTTAGTTTGCCTTGACTTTCCACAATGGATTATTGTGCAATTCTGAAAGAGCATTTATCAAATCACATTATGCTGATCATTTTCATTTCTGATTTTCACCTTCACAAGCCTGTTTCCCTACTGCATCAAAGGTTGTTATCCTAAGATTTTATTATGATTTGTAATTATGTTTTGTCAAGTTTCATAATGATGCACTTTAGGCCACACCAATTTAATTTGTTGGTTCTCGGAATTTTTCAGAAAAAACATGAAGCGACAGGGCGAAAAAAAAATAAAAATAAAAACAGGTATAGGCATCCTATTATAGGCTTAAATGCTACAAAATGAGCCATGAAGTCAACACAAAAGGCTGGGTTAAAATTTAAACATTGAATTTTGAACTTTTAATCAAACCACTGCAATGATAGATGGGAAAACTGTAACAACTAGGAAGAAAAGGACTTTCCTCAACTGTTGGGAGGGCAAAAATGAGCATTTTTCAGTTGATTCAGGACCAGAATCAATTTTTTTTTTTTGCAAATCAGAAAAAAACGAAGAGGCGAATCCGAGAACCAACAAATTAAATTGGTGTGGCCTTATATTGGGACGATTGCAACAGACAGAAACAGAAGAGTATGAACCGTTTCTCATAACATAAACTTGCTACTGTAACAGTGAAACATCACATCTCGTGTGAAACTTGCCACAGTAAAACGTCACATCTGGTGTGAAACTTGCCACAGTAAAACGTCACATCTGGTGTGAAACTTGCTACAGTAAAACTTGCTACAGTAAAACGTCACATCTGGTGTGAAACTTGCCACAGTAAAACGTCACATCTCGTGTGAAACTTGCTAGAGTAAAACGTCACATCTCGTGTGAAACTTGCCACAGTAAAACGTCACATCTCGTGTGAAACTTGCCACAGTAAAACGTCACATCTCGTGTGAAACTTGCCACAGTAAAACGTCACATCTCGTGTGAAACTTGCCACAGTAAAACGTCACATCTCGTGTGAAACTTGCTACAGTAAAACGTCACATCTCGTCAGCCCCTGCGCTGTAAGGAATGACTGTGGCAATGTGAGCTGACTTATATTTCCTGTCGAGGGGATTTCTCCATCACGACTCGTGCCACTCTCATTTCTCAGCGCGCGTCGCCGCGGTGATACGGAGGCGTAATGGCCCCGGGGGGAGGCCCGAGCGCAGCGCTTCCCGCTGATGGGGGCATTATCGGAGCGATCGGGTCAAGTTCCCGAGACGTGGCTGCATAATTGATGCGTTCCCGGGTATCCGCGCGCCCGACCTGAGCCGCGGAGGCTTTCTGACGATTAAACCCACACCTGGGGAATTCCCGGGACAAAGTTGCTGCAAAGTGCTCCAAGACAAACGCACGGATAAGATCGTTACAACAAAGTTTCAGACTTCTAAGAAATCAGAACGTACAATCATGTACATAACATTTTACTTTTCAACTCTGTCCATAACAGTTTTTATCAGCTTTTAACCTCTATATGTTGACATCGCCCTTATCTTGACATTAAGTGATTGAGTGTAGCAGGAGTTATTTTGTTCACAAAGCTTTTCTATGGTCTTATTGTAGTCTGAAGAAAGAGAAAACTACAAACTGTTTTCCAAGACCTGGAGAGTCTGTAGACCTTGAGCCCAAGACTGTAGTGTGTGTGGCATTTCTGGCTTGAGTGTGAGAATAGTTAGAAGTCTAACAGCTCCTCTGCCTCCTCAGAGGTCCCTGTACAGAAGTGTAAGATGTATGTTGTGATTCTAGCTTGTGTAAGATGTCTAACATTTCTCGTGTCTCCCTCCAGGTCCCTGTACAGTTATGTTTGTGATGTAAAGCTAGCTTGTCGAAAGTGTAAGATGTCTGACATTTCCTCTTCTCTCTCCCCACAGGTCCCTGTACAGAACTGTAGATATTTGTTGTGATGTTAAGCTACATTGTAGAGAATGTTGTGATGCTAAATCGTGGAGAAGGTAAGAAGTCTAACATCTCTTCTCTCTCTCCTCCCCCTTCCCCCAGGTCCCTCGGGATGGCAGAGCTGCTGCAGTGTCTCCAGTCGGCTCAGTCCTGACTTCCCGGAAATTGGAGCCGGGACAAAGCCGCATTCCGGGAGGAGCCGCCGCCATTTTCCGGGGAAAAATGAAACATTGTGGAACCTTCGGAGCGTCGGCCTGCGTCTCCCCTCCTCAGATGGAGATTGGATCGTAACTCGATTAGCATCGAGCGCACTGCAGGCAGCAGAATCAGGTTATAATGCAATTATAGATTTTCAATCATCGACAGTAATTTTGTGCCTGCACTTTGGGGGCACAGGGGAAATCTGGGAGAGATGCGAGATATTTTATACGGAGCAGAAGCTCCTGCTTTTCTGCACTTTGGAGGAAAGTTTGTGCCGGGGGCGAAGCGAGCGGGAACTTGTGATTGGCACGCCGCGTCTGACACGGGAAGGGAGCGCGGATGTCAGCCGAGATGACATCACCAGATTTCCCTCGAGACGAGAACTGTTGTTCGTCTTTTTACTCGCAGAGAAACTCTCCGTCTCCGAGAGAAAGGAACAACGCAGCTCATACACTTCACACCGCAGCCTGACAACATGAAAATGCACAAGGAAAGACTCCGTAGCTTTGGTAGTTTTAGAAATGGTGGCAGTTGCAGAAATGTTCACCTGAAAAGTTTAAGCAGATTTGCTATTTTTGTACCTGAGTATGTAAGCTTGTGGAAATCACTTCTATACAACTGTCTTCTGCGGGAATTTTCTTTGTAAAGTTGGAAATTTCATTTGCGTGAGTCGGTGACTTGTTAATGTGCCTATCCTGCAGGCCTGGCCTCTAGGTTTCAATTGTAGGCCTAAAAATTCCTGCGGAATTGAATTTTCTGACCAAAATTCCATTATTTCATTCCGATGACAGGAGAAGCAATTACTATTACCCGCATCTCAACAGTCCGTCTTGTTTTCACTTCGAATGTTAAGTAAAGACATTGTGCCCCTTAATGCTGTTTGGATACTTAACGTCGTTAAGGGCTATTTAAGCCGGGAACATTAAATTGTGCAGCCGATCGAGCAGGGATGAGGCTCAGCTGATGTGGTTAACTGTGGGGAGGGAGGGAAGTCTCGTCTGTACGGTTATACTGGCTGTACAGGTACAGAAGCTGGTTTGTTACACGGTTATACCGGTTATACCAGCTGTACAGGTACAGGAGCTGATGTGGTTAACTGTGGGGAGGGAGGGAAGTCTCGTCTGTACACGCAAGGCTGGTGTGTTACATTGTTATACCGGGTATACCAGCTATACAGATACAGGACCTGGACTGTTACATGGTTTTACTGGTTATACAGATACACAGGCTGATGTGGTTAACTGTGGGGAGGGAGGGGAGAGTCTTGACTGTACACGCAACACGGTTATACCGGCTGTACAGGAACAAAAGCTGGTGTGTTACACAGGTATACTGGCTATATAGGACTGGTATAGGAGCTGGTGTGGTTAAATGTGGGGAGGGAAGGTGTGTTATATGGTTATACCAGCTTTACAGATACAGAAGCTGGTGTCTTGTCTGATTAACCACAGGCCGTGTTGTATCCAGAACCCAGCTTTGGAGAAAAAGCACATATACAGTACTTCGGCAACAATGTCATACACAATACAGGAGATGGTGTCTTTTCATTTTATCTGTTTATTTGAGTCGGTAATTTCTTACTTTGCTATAATGTTGATCAACAACAAGAATAACGTCCATCAATAAATATATCAGCAATAAATAAGTGAAGAAAACATGCAATTCTGTACATTTTTGGCAACTTTTGGAGAGCTTGGTCAATAAGCAACACTAACACAGTAAACACACAGGTTTATCCATTTATAACTTACATCAGTGCAACCACAAGGAAGACGGTAAAAAAGTTTTTCAGTCCAACCCACAA